GCTAACCACGTTATTACATTAATGCATGTAAGGTGAACTAGCAAACATCATCATAGCTACATGCGGCTGTCCTCTTGTTTGATGGCAGATACTCCCTTCACCCTGGCCAAAAAGGCTAAAATTGTCATGGTCCGGGTGTGTGCCAGTGCGTCTCCCTCCGAGCCGGCGTCTCCACCCCTGGGAGGGGCCTCAGTGTTTTTGCTGATCGTTGACATCTGTGGGTAATTAGCCGGGGGACTCATAAGGCCAGCGTTCTCAATCTCTCTTCGCCAGATTCTCTGCTAAACATCACTACACCTAACTGTTAAACCCCTGGCGAAGAGCTTCTACTTGGATGCTGGACCTTCTGGCAGTCCCTCAGGCTACCACCAAAACTACCTACCTGCCTCTCTGCCTCCACGCCAGGAGTTTTTGGATTTACACACCCGGATTACTCCCCCTCTATGTCATCTCCGACCTCCGTTGGCAAGTACACAGTACGAAGGAGGATTTTGAGCCAAACAACATATTCATATGCCTCCTTATCTATGTTTTGAACATTTGCATTCTGTTACAGTGACCCCGACCTTTTCCTGGACCTTTTGTGACTTGCTTTCCAGTCCAATCCCCGGACCCGGACCAGATCATTATTTAGTTAACGTCTACGCTCACCTTTTGTTTATGAATATTTTGTGTGCACATTAAACATTATTCTTAAAATATATTTTCGAGCTGTTCGGCGTCTTGCGTTTGAGTCCTGTCACTCGTCTGAAACGGTCCCGGCCGTAACAGTAGAATCTGGCCAGCAGTTATGGACTCAGCAGACGCGGAACGGTCAGCCATTCAGAGGCAGGGGGCGATATTAGGAAGTCATGAACAATCTATTCAGTTCCTGTTAGCCCAGCAGCAGACTCTTAGAGATGGTCAAACTAAAATACTTGAGACCCTCCAGGCTCTACAAACTGATATTTCTACTGCTGCTGGTTCCGCCTCGGGCCCCGCGGGCCAAGACTCCGGTACACCAGCTCCTCTGCCTCAACCTGTTGCCGTTGCATCTCCACCTACATCAGCTTTCCGTGATGCTACGTCCCCGGAGCCCGAACCATTCTCAGGGGATCCAGGGAGTTGTAGCGGGTTTTTGCTTCAGGTTGACCTTGTTTTCGGTCGTTCTCCGCGCACATTTGTTGCGGATTCTAATAAGATATCTTATTTGGTGGGTAAACTGCGTAATCGTGCACTTAAATGGGCGGAGGCGTATCTATCGAAGAATCCTTTGTTAACCTGTTCTTATGAGGTGTTTTTGGGGGAATTCCAGAAAACGTTTGCGCACCCCATTTCTGAGGGTAGTTCTGCGCAGAGGCTGCTGGATCTTCGCCAGGGCCGTCAGAGGGTTGCTGATTTTTTGATTGATTTTCGTACTGCTGCCGCCGAAACCGGTTGGCCTGACGACGCTCTGCGTGGGGTGTTTTTCCGGGCATTGAACGAGGGTATGAAAGACCAGCTTGCCTCCCGTGATGAGCCAAAATCTTTTGAGGAACTGGCGTCCCTCTCCCTTCGCATTGACAACAGGTTGCGTGACAGGGAGAGGGACAGGAACTACAAATCCCAGCGCCGTTTACCGCGCTCGTTTCCTGGTACGTCACCGTCGCCGCCTCCGACTGTGGACTCGCATGAGTTTGTCGCCTCGGCTTACGTCACTGATCCCGAGCCGGAGCCTATGCAGATTGGCCGGTTACGGTTGACACCGGAGGAGAGGGAGCGGCGGCGTCGGGCTCATGCCTGTTTTTACTGTGGCTCGCTGGAACACTTGATTGCTGCATGCCCGAAGGAGGGAAAAGGTGTCGCCCGCCGGTAGAATCGGGGATACGGGTGGGCGGTTCGAATTCTGGTCAGAAACCCCGTTTACAACTCCCTGTCACCTTGGAGATGCTACAGAGTACTCATTCGTGCACAGCCTTATTAGATTCTGGTTCTGAACAGAATTTAATCAGTCTCGATCTCGCTGAACGATTAGGCGTTCCGCTCGTGCGCCTTGAGCCGCCCATTCCAGTTAGAGCGATTAATAACCAGGTTTTCACTAGAATTTCTTTTCGCACTGGTCCAGTGTCACTGTGCACTTCGGGGAATCATAGGGAAAAACTCACCTTTTTTGTCCTCGATTCACCTGATACTCCGCTCACTTTGGGTTATCCCTGGCTGTGCTTACACAATCCGCACTTGGATTGGGAGGGGCAAAGGGTTGTCAGCTGGAGCCCTTTTTGCCACTCCAATTGTCTGACTTCCGCCCGTTTTCCCGGCCCGGGGGAGGTTACGGGGACTGACGAATATGTCCCCGATCTCTCAGGGGTGCCGCCTGAGTATCATGATTTGCGGGAGGTATTCAGTAAAATCAAAGCGCAGTCCCTACCGCCCCATCGCCCTTATGACTGTGCGATTGATTTGCTCCCCGGAGCGTCCCTGCCCAAGAGCCGGTTATATAGTATCTCTAGGCCTGAACGTGCTGCGATGGAGGAGTATATTAGGGATTCATTAGCGGCTGGGTTAATCCGTCCGTCTTCGTCCCCCGTGGCGGCGGGGTTTTTTTTTGTAGACAAGAAGGATGGGTCTCTTCGGCCGTGTATTGATTTCAGGGGCTTGAATGACGTCACTGTTAAAAATAAGTATCCCTTGCCACTCATTAGCTCCGCTGTTGAATCGCTACAGGGTGCCACGGTGTTCACTAAGTTAGATCTTCGCAATGCTTATCATTTGGTGCGAGTCCGTCAGGGAGACGAGTGGAAGACCGCGTTTAACACCCCCCTGGGTCATTTCGAGTATCTCGTTATGCCTTTCGGTTTAACGAACGCTCCAGCGGTGTTTCAGGCCCTAATAAATGACGTCCTGCGGGATTTCCTCGACCGTTTTGTGTTCGTCTATTTAGATGACATTCTTATTTTTCTAAGTCTTTGGCTGAGCATCATTCACATGTCCGTGCTGTCCTTCAACGCCTCTTGGAAAACAGACTGTATGCCAAGGCTGAGAAATGTGAGTTTCATTTGACATCGGTCTCTTTCCTGGGATACATCTTGGCAGGGGGCAGGTGAAGACGGATCCGGCTAAGGTGAAGGCGGTCACTGACTGGCCTGTGCCTTCTACTCGCAAGCAACTCCAGGGGTTTTTGGGATTTGCGAATTTCTATCGTCGGTTTATAAGGAACTACAGTCTAGTGGCGGCTCCGCTTACACGCCTTACCTCTACGAAGCTTCCGTTCGGCTGGTCCGCCGAAGCTGACAGCGCATTCACGGAGCTGAAACATCTGTTTTCTACTGCGCCCATCCTCGCTCAACCCGATCCGTCTAAGGCTTTTATTGTGGAGGTGGATGCTTCTGATGTGGGGGTGGGGGCTGTGCTTTCACAACGTGCCGGCCCCTCCTCTAAGCTGCGGCCGTGCGCCTTTTTCTCTCGGCGGCTTTCACCAGCAGAACGGAACTATGATGTGGGGGACCGGGAGCTGCTTGCCGTTAAGTTGGCGTTGGAGGAGTGGCGTCATCATCTGGAAGGCGCGGCGCTACCGTTCCTGGTGTGGACGGATCATAAGAACTTGACGTACCTACGCGGTGCGAAGAGGTTGAATGCACGTCAAGCTCGTTGGTCGCTGTTTTTCGCACGTTTTAACTTTTCCATTTCCTATCGCCCGGGTTCCAGAAACACCAAACCGGATGCCCTCTCTCGGCAGTTTGACTCTGACACGGGTCCGGCGGAGTTTTCCACCATTCTTCCGGCCGGCTGTACGGTGGGAGCTATTACCTGGGAGGTGGAGGACGCCATCGACCGGGGCCTCCGGACGGAACCGGATCCGGGCACGGGACCGCCTAACCGGCGTTTTGTTCCCGCGGCTGCTCGCTCCAAGGTACTGGAATGGGTGCACGCTTCGAGGTTTGCGTGTCACCCGGGCAGGGGCAGGACGACTTCTATGGTTAAGAGACATTTTTGGTGGGCCACTCTGGATAAAGATGTTCGGGAGTATGTGGCTGCGTGCCCTGTGTGTGCCAGGTGTAAGTCGCGTACTCACCGTCCTGCTGGGCTGTTGCAGCCGTTGTCTACGCCTCATCGCCCTTGGTCCCACATCGCCCTGGATTTTGTTACGGGACTCCCGGTTTCGGCTGGGAAGACCACTATTCTCTCAGTCGTGGATCGGTTTTCTAAGGCTGCTCATTTCGTCGCTTTGGAGAAGTTGCCCACTGCGGCTGAGACGTCTACGTTGTTGTTGGACCATGTTTTTCGGCTTCATGGCATTCCTGTGGAAATAGTTTCGGACAGGGGTCCGCAGTTCTCGTCCCAGGTTTGGGGTTCTTTTTGCGCTGCTTTGGGGGCCAGGCCTTGTCTGAGCTCTGGTTACCATCCTCAGACGAACGGCCAGACGGAACGTTTAAATCAGGAGCTGGAGGCCGCGCTCCGCTGTGTGACCTGTCATAACCCTGCGACTTGGGCCTCGTATCTGCCGTGGGTGGAATATGCCCACAACTCCTTGGTTTCGTCTGCTACTGGGTTGTCACCGTTTGAGGCCTCTTTGGGTTATCAGCCGCCCCTGTTTCCGGTGGAGGAGGCTGATCTTGCTGTCCCCTCGGTCCAGCATCATCTACAGCGCTGCCGTCGGGTCTGGTCTCGTACGCGGGAGGCGCTGTTGCGAGCTGTGGCTCGCCAACGTAGCTGTGCCGACCGTCGCCGGTCTCCTGCGCCTGTTTACTCACCTGGACAGAAGGTGTGGCTCGCTGCGAAAGACGTCCCTCTCAGGGCATCCTCCCGCAAGTTGTCTCCTCGTTACATCGGCCCCTATTCTGTGGACAGGGTCCTCAGCCCTTCGGCTGTCAAGCTCCGTTTGCCTGCTGCCTTGAGGGTTCACCCGGTCTTTCACGTTTCTCAGGTGAAGCCGGTGGTGTCTAGTCATCTGTGCCCGCCTCCGGTGCCCCCGCCTCCCGCCCGGCTCATTGATGGGCATCCTGCGTTTTCTGTCCGGCGCATTCTGGATGTGCGGCGGCGGGGTAGGGGGCTGCAGTTTTTGGTGGACTGGGAGGGTTATGGGCCGGAGGAGCGTTCTTGGGTTCCTCGTTCTTTGATGCTTGACTCTGTGATGGTTTCTGATTTTCTTAGGTCACGTCGTGGGGCGGGTGCTGGTCGGCCGCCGGGTGGCGTCCCTTGAGGGGGGGGTACTGTCATGGTCCGGGTGTGTGCCAGTGTGTCTCCCTCCGAGCCGGCGTCTCCACCCCTGGGAGGGGCCTCAGTGTTTTTGCTGATCGTTGACATCTGTGGGTAATTAGCCGGGGGACTCATAAGGCCAGCGTTCTCAATCTCTCTTCGCCAGATTCTCTGCTAAACATCACTACACCTAACTGTTAAACCCCTGGCGAAGAGCTTCTACTTGGATGCTGGACCTTCTGGCAGTCCCTCAGGCTACCACCAAAACTACCTACCTGCCTCTCTGCCTCCACGCCAGGAGTTTTTGGATTTACACACCCGGATTACTCCCCCTCTATGTCATCTCCGACCTCCGTTGGCAAGTACACAGTACGAAGGAGGATTTTGAGCCAAACAACATATTCATATGCCTCCTTATCTATGTTTTGAACATTTGCATTCTGTTACAGTGACCCCGACCTTTTCCTGGACCTTTTGTGACTTGCTTTCCAGTCCAATCCCCGGACCCGGACCAGATCATTATTTAGTTAACGTCTACGCTCACCTTTTGTTTATGAATATTTTGTGTGCACATTAAACATTATTCTTAAAATATATTTTCGAGCTGTTCGGCGTCTTGCGTTTGAGTCCTGTCACTCGTCTGAAACGGTCCCGGCCGTAACAAAAATGACCAAAGAAAAAGTGGGAAACAGTTAAACATGAGAGGGTTTAAGTTTGTGTTTTTTCCATTGTTTAAGCACTGCTTCCAGCCAAGAGTGATGCCATATATGCCACATAGCTGCAGAAAAGGCTAACATTGTTATCTTTTTACAAAAATAAACAGCTGAACATGAGAGGTTTTTGGACAAAGTTTGTTCTCCATTCTTTAAGCACCCGTTTGAGCACCGTTTAAGCACCGGCACCGTTTCAAAAGTACCGATTTGGCACCGGTATCGGATAAAACCTAAACGATACCCATCCCTATTAAAGACCCTTTCCAGAAGTTAAGCAATCAGGTCATATTTTGGAGGAGTGTAATTTACCAATCAAGAAAGAACTCAAGAGTGTCATCATGAAGAATTTCCCACCAACAGGTAACCGAAACGTTTTTATTATTTCTGATCTGTAAAACATTAATAAATTGTTTATCAAGTTTTGATCCAACAGAAATAATTTCAAACTTCATGACTGCACCAATATTGCTCAACAATGTGATGAATCGAGCCACAGTGGAAGATTTACTATATGTCTAAAAATAACACAGTCGCTTCTCTGGAGTGAGCCAGATGGTTGTAACACAGAGCATTCACTTGATCAAATGATAACACTTCCTGTCAGTCTGCATGTGAGCACAAGCCACACTGGGGTTATGACCGTTAGACACCAGAAGGTGTGTGCGCAGTGCGAGTGGATTCATGCTTTTGAATATAACAGGGAAATAAAATGTTGTTGTTGTTTTTTATCCATGTCTTACATTAGGCTTCTTAATTTAACTTCCACGTACTGTAATAAAAAATTAGTGCCTTTGCTATATTTAGAAAACATGGTCTTAATCTTCTCATTTTATCATTTCATCAAGACAGCAAGAGTAAACAAGCCCCCAGATGTTTAAAAAGTGCCATATCAGTTCTAATAAAATGCTGCGAAGCAGCAGAGTATAGCCAGCAGGAATGGATGCAGTAATTTATTCTCTTGTATTTTCTCTCCCAGGCAACTAGGATAGGTGGCACAAATGGAGCATTTTAATTAAAAAGTGCTGAGACAATCTTGGCAGCCACTGACAAGTCTTCCTGTTCCTATGGAGTGTAGGCAGTGGATTACTATGGTGCGTCTAATTCAGTTGAGAAAAAAAACAAAACAATAATGGGAACCCAATTATTACCTCTACAGGGAAACCAAAATTTCCACAAGCTTCCTTCCTGTCCGCTGCTCTTGTGAGTCTGTTTCAGTTTTTCTTTTCCTTATATAACTGCAGGACTGACGACAATCATCTCCTGCTGGTGCTTCCCTCTGAGTTAGTAATGTGAATGATGACAACATATTCAGGTTATGAACAACAACACCACCAATGATTACCCTTGCAAAAGCTTTGTGCCATAAATAGTTAGTAATTGGTTGTGATTCAGTTTTTCCTTGCTGAAAGACTTTCACCCTGTTTAATGCCAGATTCAACATACACGATACTAGCATCAAGTAGTAGTAGTTACATGTTTGTGAGAATATTTTATTAACAATTATTAATTAATTAGTTTATTAACACATAATTAACATGTTTGATGATGGTTTAAACAAGAATGGCCAAACAAATAAAAATGTTCTGAAACAATTTTTAAAAGCTTAATATGCTATAACTAATTAATTTAAATAATATTTTTTAACATATTTCTATTTTCATTTTCTCATTCTAGTTTTTCTTTCTCATTTTTGTCATCCTCTTCCTCCTCACCCGAAGCCTCACTTTTGAGCTGAAGTTAGGATTTGTAAACCCCACCCCAGCTTTTGTTATCAGTAACAGAGTCAAATTTGTGCTCTATCATCTTGGCTTTGACAGCTTTCCAGCTGTCACCACAGCACTCCCCCACAGCTGCCCTGCCCGCCTCCCTGGTGCTGCCCCTCGAGCCTGCTGCACCACCCCTCCCCAGCAGCAGAGCCAAAGCCCACACCTCATAAAAAAAACCCACTACAGGAACATGTTTCTTTATTCTTGATATTTTCGCAATTGTTTATCACGAGCAGACCAGACATGGACCCTCTAGGTAAACAACAACATCATTTTATAAGCTAATGCTATGGCAGCTAATGTTTGACTTTAGAGTCCTAAAACTCTACCACTAGTACTTTTTCTGTGATGAGCAGTTACAATTACACTTTCATATCACATGAGAGTTTATTTTTAAGTGCGAGTCTGACAAATTTAGAGCCACTTCAAGAAAATTTAATTGATAGCAGCTAACAGTCTGCTGTTAATTAAATTTGCTGTAGCTCAGCTGGTAGAGCAGGTCTACTAACTGGAAGGTTCATGGTTTGATCCTCGTCTGCTCCAGTCTCCATGCCAAAGATCCTTACTAACCCCAAGTTGCTGTCCGATCCATCCATCGGAGTATCAGTGAGTGTGAATGTTAGATAGAAAGAGCTTATGTGAATGTGTGAATGAGGTAAGTTGTGTAAAGTGCTTTGAGTGGTCAGTTAGAGTAGAATAGTACTACATAAGAACCAGTCCATTTACCAGTTAACAGGGGCAGAAACACCAGCCCTTAAAGATATCCTCAACAACTGAGCTCAGTGTCACTGTCATCAATCAAAGTTGAGCCACGATGACTCTTTGACAACTTAAGGCATAATACGCAGAGATGTATCAATATCAATATCAATATCAATATGTAATGAAAATCAGGTATATGTCAGAGCAATGACAAGCAGCTATGGCCCACCTGTTCCAGGCAGACTGAGGTTTGTTACTCATCTTGACACAAAATACTGATAAACTTTTGTAGGACTTCTGATTTTGTCCAGTACAGTTTTAGGGGTTGCTGATAACATAATGAAGTGAACTGTGTGGCGTGAAGCTTGGGAGAGTGTCAGGGTTGCACTTCACAGCAACAGTAACTAGATAAACGTCCGTCTTCAGCCGACCCTTGCATAATTTCTCTATATAATGGACAAGATGCATGCCAAGTATTTTACTTCCTACTACTACTATGTAGGTTTCAGGAAGACATTTTAGGGAAATAAACAGTTTTTCTGTAAAGGAAAGTAAAAAAAAAACAAAAAAACCCCAGCACTATTTCAACATAAATGGCAGACTAAGCATGGTCTGTCCTCTCTCAGCACTTCTCAGCAAACACAACTGAGTAAAACATAGTATGAGACATGAAAGGGTATCAAGGTTCTCTTTCTGCTTATTTCCGGGCTATGCTTGCTTTTGCTTTTTTGTTATCTAGACTTCCACAGTGCGGCTGGATGCTGAAGCACAGTAATCACATTATGAGGATGGCGTTGGAGCAATGGACAACAGCACAGTGCATCAGTGTTTACTCCCAGCAGATGGGATACATCCATGACCAGCAGCGGAAATGAAAGAAAATGATCCAGAATGATCACATAAGGCTTAAGGGCCAAACTAATCAGATGACCATTCAGGATTCTCTGCTGTAATTTGCTAATTACTCATTCAGTCATTCTTTTCCTCCTCTCGCAGCACAGCCTGTGCGTGTCTGATATGAGAATAGGCTGTTTTATTAATGTTTGGGTTGCCATCAGTTTCAGACTTATTCCAATGTTGTTGTCTTTTAAAAGCTACTTGATTAGAACAAATGCTATGTTTGCATAGAAAAAGCACTTTATAAACCACTGGATAGGGTAAAATATGTATTTTAATGCAGACTAAATCTCCATATAATTTTAGTGGCACAGTTTCTACTTATGTCAGGCATTTGTTTAATTTTAGTTCATAATAGTATTATGCCTAGAAATATAACTTACAAGTCCAATTCCCAAAAAGTTGAGTGTGGTGTGAGTGTGGTCTCTGGCCAGCTGCAGAGGAGGGGTGACAGGTGTGCTGGGATCTGACAGTGATTGTGTCTCTTTATATGTTGGCAGTGACAGTCGGAGGGGAGGGAGAGCGGACGTGACAGCAGAGAGAGCGGGAGTGTCTGTGTCCCAGTGAACAATACAAAAACCACAGTGTCAAATAAAAAGTTCTGCTGTCATCATATTCGCTCCAGCGTATGTTTATCGGGTCCAACGTTACATTGAGATTTTGTAAAATGTAAATAAAATCAGAATGTAGTGTCAGTCTCATAATCCCATATTCAGTGTGCAACAGTATGGATTCATGGACGAGCACTATACATGTTTTTTTGAATAGTGTTAATGAAAACTACAGAGAAGGTCAGAAGGAACTGGACTGTGTCTTTGTAAATCTAGAAAAAAACATGCCAAGCGAGACACTGTGGTACTGAGGAGGTCAGGGTGGTGCAGGACAGTGAGACAGTGATGAGGCATGAGGGCGGTATCAGATGGGTTTACACCTACTCCGAGTCTGTTCTTGTTTGCAGTAGTGATGGACAGGTTGACTGATGAGGTGAGGCAGGAGTCTCTGTGGACTAACGTTCATAAATTTGATTGTGATCTGTAGGGAGAGTAGGGAGCAGGTGGAAGAGAGCCTGGAGAAGTGGAGGTGTGCTCTAGAGAGAAGAGGACTACGTGTGTAAATGAGAGACCCATCTGTCACTCCTACCCTATACCTTATCACTGTTAGCTTTGTGGTAGCTCCCTCTGTAGTTGCTAAACATCACCTTTACCTTCTCCAAGCTTGTGTCCACTGCCCTCTCTCCTAGACATCTCCATACAACACAGATATGTCCCATTAAATATCTAAATGTTCACCTTTTCTGACACACATGCAAAGCTTCACAAGTTTTCAGGCATGTTTAGCTCTTAAAAAAGAGATTTATTTTCACAAATTATACAAGTAATAAGAAGAAAATGAGTAGTGCATTCATGTTCAGTGCTTGAGCCCTGATACACAAACATTTAGCTTTTGAATCCTGCTCAGCAGCTGAATGGGTTTTAATTCTGCAGTATGTTTGAGTCAGTACACTGGGGATTGTTCTTT